AGAGGTTTGTACCTATGTTGTTTATTATTTCTTGCCTATATCTTATAATATAAGAAACTACTTTGGCAGTAACAATACACAATGTACTAACCATTATTACTCTCCTAAAATCTTGTTTTGAGATTTTGTAAAATAAATAAATAAAATAAAAAAGAAAAAAAAAGATAATGATATGATATACGGCACAACTATTGCTATTCTCTTACGTGATTACGATAATTTACTTTTTAAATTTCTTTTTTTTTTGTGGTAGAACTGGGGATTGAACTCAGGCCCTTGCACTTGCCAAGGAAGCACTTATTCCACTGAGCCATCTACCTGGCCCAATAATTTACTTTTTAATAATGTAAAAAAATGAATAAAAAGTAGAACTACTATTAGAGAATTAGGTAGTTTGGATGTAACTGATAATGATTTAACTTAAAATTACTCAATAGTGCTTTTGTTATAAGATTTGTTGATATATAGAGTCCACCAAAAACTATGTATCATGAAAAAGCTGGCATAAACACTTTAATACTAAATTTATTGAGGTATCATGAGGTTAATAGTTCCTTTAACCTCTGCCGTTACAAGGGGTGCTCCAAATGGTGACCATGAGCCTCCACACCTGTATGACTAGTATGGTGAACTGCTGAACTGTATGCACATATGTACACCTACCCTAAAATATGTAAATTCAGGGAGTCCACAGCTCCTTTTAAACACACATTCCTGTTTCTTTGACATCTACTCATTATTTATACAGCCATTTAGATCATAAAGCAACTAATGTGACGGCTACACGCCTCTGACTCTGGTACATAATAAGAATTTGTATACTGAAGGGCTTTACCTTTTTCCAAAAGTACATGACTATCACTTCCATCACTTTCCAACAACTGTTCTTCCAGAATCATGCTGTCGAGGGAAATGGTGTCCAGCGAGACCTGTGACGAGCTTCTTTTCATGCTCTTATGGGAAACACTGAGTGGTGGCAGGTTGGGCGGGCAACGTTCCTTAGACTTCCCACTGTTAAGCAAAATTACCAGATTACTACAGAAAAAGTAGTTTATCTTAAAATACAAAATTAAAATATATACACAGCACCTGTTTTAAAATTATATTTAAATGTGTAAGCTCAAAGGGATCTCATCTTTTAAAAAATCTTTTTAACTCTAACAATGCTGCTGAAATCATTTTGTCATGATGTTTTCTGCCCCAAAACAAGATATACTTGTGCACATGGATTCAGCAAAAACCAATAAAAAGCCCCAAACTTCCAGTAATATGTGTTACCTTAAAGATGACTGTGACTTAAGTGTTCTAACTGCAGATGCCTCCTCTTTACTGACTTCCAGGTTGTCAGGGGATGCAACTCCATCTGGAATCAAATCTTCAGGCTTAACATTTGACTCTGTGGTTTCACTTCCTTTCCTAGTTAAACTATTTGGAAGTATGTTTTGATGACCATCATTATCAAATGACAGCCTATTCCAGTCTGCCTGATAGTTTAAGACACGATTTGAATCTGTGTGAAATGAATCTTTCCTGTCCTTTATTTCTGATCCAATTTCTCCTGAGCCACCTTTGTAAACAAATCCACTACTCTCATCTTCACTTATTTTCCCTAAATGTTTATCAGACAAATAGTCCAGCAAAGTACCTTTTTGTAGATTTGTATCACTAGCTGATTTAAAAAGCAAAGGGTCCTTTAAAGGGACATGGCTAAGGTCAACACTCATAGATCTGTTGTCTGACATATGATTAACAGCTACACTTCTAATTTGATTTATGCCACTACTAACTTGTTTTCTTTTTGAAGACAAAAATTCTCCATTTCCTGGTGGCAAATCCTCAGGAACCATTGGGCTCCCACTATCTGAAACAGGAGACTTCAAAGGATTTGCTTGATCTACTGGGTGCAGCAAAAGAGCCAGTTCTGCACTTCTGAGTAAAATTCCAATGCAAATGGACATCTGAGTAGGTGGACTGCCTGTCACAGCTTCTACGTCTTTCCTTAAGTTATCTGAAAGCAGAATAAGTGACTCGTGCAGGAAAAGTAGAAGTAGATACTGGTAGTGATTGATCTGCATACTAACATGTTTCTGAACACGAACCAGAACATGAATATCAGCATCTGATGATGAAGAGGAAATTCTTAATGATATATCTGATGAAGGTTTCTGGCCATCATTTGTCACAGGTTCAGACTCTGTGCTATAATACTCCTTTAAGAGCTTCTTCCGCTTCAGTCGGCCAGTCAGATCACTAGACTCACTCTGTGATGTATTTATGGGTACCTGATTACAAGTCTGCAGCTCTTTTTGTGACTCTGCATACCTTGCTGGCTGACAAATCCAGATAGATAGAGGGAAAGAGTCAACAAAACTTACTGGTCGTCCTTTTCCACTTTTCATCCCTTCATAATCTATCCAAAATTGAGAAAAGTACACAGCCCAAACATCCTTGGCAGCAGAAGTTTTAAGAGTGTGTTTATTCAATTTGGGAGTAATATTTCCTTTGTAAACTTCATGCATTTTGGTATCCTGTTCATGAGCATGTCTTTGGAATATTGGATGTAGAAGATTAAAGCTATCACAAGACTTAGGGAAGCTAGTATATGCTTTACTAAAAAAATCACAATCTTTGAAGTCTTGAAACAAAGCTTCTAAATCAGAATGCCGACAGTTTGGACAGTGCCGCGTGTTGGTAGCAATCATTTCAGAGCTCTGGATGGAAACTGCATGTGGTTGATCTTGGTGACACTCAGGTTTCATTTCGGAAGGAATGACAAACTAGGAGGGAAAAAAATTAGCCCAGTTTATAAATCCAAACATCTTTTTTACAAATCCATACATCTTGAAAATGAAATAATTAAGAACATGATTTAGCTTAGCAATTCTTTTACCTTCCCCCACAATAATCCTACGCTATTTAGACGTAAAACACTAATGCTTGGGACTGGGGATATAGCTCAGCAGCACAGCACCTGCCTGGCAAGTGCAAGCTCATGAGTTCAAATCCTAGTACAAAAAAAAAACCCAAACAAACAAACAAACAAAAACCACTCTCTGCATTTCAAAACATTTTACAAATGGAATAAGATGGATTTAAATGATTGATCACTGGGCTGGGGAAGATAGCTCAGCACCATAAGTGCCTGCCTGGCAAGGACAAGGTCCGAAGTTCAATCCCTGGTACCACTACCACAAAAGTATTATAAAATTGAATTTAATTAAAAAAAAAGATTGATCACTGAATGAATAACCTCAAAAAATAAAACAAATAATGTATATGTCATGTAGTATGCATAATAAATAATAAATCACAAAATAAAAATAACACAATTGTGCTAAATCATTGTTATTGACTATAACTTGAGTACACAGAAATAAAGTTCCAAGTCTGGGAAGGAGATTTTTTTGTTAGGATATTTTAATCCAAATGTTTTGGAGAATCAATGCATGAAAGAATAGAATGATTGGTCAGAGCACATCAGAATCAGCTTTCTAAACTATTAAGAATGTAAACTTAAAAGGATAGGTCAAATTGTTTACTACAGGTAAACAATTCTCAAGGGATAATGAAATCCAATTCTGAAAATATTGACACTAGAGTTCAGAATGATTCACTTTAATATTGCATATATTCTAAAAATTCAATCACTATATAATAAATGTTATAAAGTGTCCCTTTATACTGAATTTCATGAGATCATGAGAGCTTTAAACTATTTCTGCAATGTAACTGAGTATTATCCACATCATTTCACAGGGAAGAAGTATGTAGATTTAATCTATCAGCAATACATTTAGAAACCAAAACCTTTATTCTAGTTACTAAACCCTATCAGCCAGAATATTTTTCTTTTTTTTAAACTTTTTTCCTTTAAAACTTAAAAATTCATAGAGCTGGTATTACTAACTACTTGGCTATAAATGAAAAGTAGCTTTCTATTATCTTTGGATATTAACAGAATAAATGTAAATAAACAAAAGTTATAATTTAAAAGCTTTATTGTATAATTGACCTTTCTAAAAAATGTATCAGTTCTAAATCAAAAAAGTGACTGATATATATTTTATTTGTAAATGTATGGAAATTTTAGAGAAAGGTCTAAAAAAATCAGAACTACATAAATGAAGAGTGCAGGGAAGCGATTTCTTAAAAGCTTCTGTAATAATCAAATTTGAATTTCAAAATGAAAATATCATAAAGAATCCATAAGATTATAATGCTGCCAACTTTTCATCCATAAAAGTGATTTTGTCCTAACAGCCACTTGTATACCTTTAGCATTAAGCCATCAACTCGAATATCAACATGCTCATCAGATTTTGAATTGTCATTCAATTTGTACACAGTCATGAACTGATTAAGACTCTGTTTTAAATCCAACAGAAACTGGTTTAACCACAGAATGCTTCTCTCATCCACAGTAAACTGCAGTGCATTCAGCTGGCCATAAAGGTTGGGAGATGGAACTGTGGAGAAAAAAATTTTAATTCTGTTAATGAACAGTTCTAAATGTTCCCTGAGAACAGAGAAGATATTTTCAAAAAGTTTTATTCTTTCTTAAAACTTTTTGAGACAGTATGCATACACAATTAGAGTGACGTATGTGACTGGCAGGAGAAGTAGTCAAAAAATCATTTTCTATGCTTCATGAACTGAAAAATATTTAATGTACTGTAAGTTTAGAAGAATAAATAGGATGTAACTATTCAGACTTCTTTCCTTTAGATTCAGAGAGAAGCAACTTCTAAGAATATTACTTTATTGATGAAGTAACACCAAAACTGTCGTTCTCAATGGTACATTTCCACAAGGACTTTACCCTCTGAATCCTGATCTGCAACCTTTAAATGATGACCAATTTCCTGTGAAAGTGGTATGCTACACAGAACTCCTTGATTAATTTCTCACTTTATTGAAAGTTTAGAATAGTACCTGAGGTAAAATAAAACTCAAGTATCCAAGTATCTCTTGAGCAATTAAATGAATACACACTTTTTCATAGTTCTCTCAAATAAACTAGTATTTACAATAGGAAGTATAACACCTGCTGGAATCCAGGACAGTATACTAAAGATTCAAACGTATTTTCTTTTACCAAAAGCTAAAATATGCATATCTAGAATGTCTAGCACAAACTAAGTCAAAAAAATAAATCTAAGGAATGGGAAACCAGAACAGAGAAAATACTGGAACAGTGTCTTGTTCATGAGTTTTTTGCTTTTGTTATTCATTTATTCATTTTCCTTTAGCAAAGACCCACTGAATATCTACTATATTCTGTACATTACACTAAGCACAAAGAAAACAATGGCAAAAGTCCTTGTCCTCAAAAAAGTTTATAGTCATGGGACGAGACAAAAGTTAAAACTCAAGTCTATCAGAGTTATGTGATTATGATGTGGGGCTATTTGTCTTTGGAAAGAGAAAGGAAGAAAGGTGCTAAAAAGGTTACATCACAGTCTAAAAGGAAAGAAGGAAGATGGGGAATCTTGATGTATGAAGATGAGAGAGTAAACACAGGCCCAGGAAGAGCACAGGGCAAAAGCCTGAAACCAAATCTGAGACTGTGAAAGAATCCATTACACTAAGCAATAAAAAAATCTATGCATAGCTTCCAAATGGGGTCTGTTTTTGAGGGATCAAACCCAGGACCTTGTGCTTGCCAGGCAGGTGCTTATGCCACTGAGCTATCTCCCCGGCCCTAAAGATATTTATATTTTTGTGAAATGCTGGGGATTGAACCCACTTTAACTACTGAGTTGTATCCCAAGCCAAAAGAAACAAAAAAACAAAGGAGCAAGGAGAGGGGAAGGGAAGGGAGGGGAGGGGAGGGGAGAAAGATATTTATATTTTTGTGAAATGCTGGGGATTGAACCCACTTTAACTACTGAGTTGTATCCCAAGCCAAAAGAAACAAAAAAACAAAGGAGC